AGTCGCCGTTTGGTTCGAGCTGGTCGTGTGAAGCTCGCCTCGACCGGCGGACTTGGCATCGCTCGGACGCGTGTGTTTTTTTTTTTTTCTCGGCGAGGACCGTCGAGGAGGAACTTCCTGGAGCATCCTGCGAAACATAAGCGCACGACGCTGAAAACTTGCGCGGGAAATGGACGCCCGAGCGATGGCAAGGCGGAGGGAGGGAGGTTGCACAGGGATGGCCGCCACCCGCCTCGCGGTGCTCTTGCTGGCGCTCGCGTCGTGGCCCGTGGCCAGCATCCAGCCCAAGGACCTGGCGACCTGGCTCTCCTCCGAGGACGGTCTCGGCCTGTCCACGTCCGCCGCCTCGGCCCTGGCCGGCCAGGAGTACCGCGCGCTCACCCTGTGTGGTGTCACCCTGCAGGACCTGCAGGCCCTGAGGGACACGCTGAAGACCAAGCTGGACCTCGGCGTCTCCGCGACCGTGCAGAAGAGCCTCTTCGTGCTGGCGGAGCAGCACGCCACCGCGGACAAGCTCTACAGCATGTACTACTACCTCTCCAGTAGTTACACTCTGCACGGCGGCCTCGGCCTGGACAAGGACCGCGCGCAGTCCATGGCGATTTCTATGACCCTGGCGAGGGCGGAGCCAGATCAGTTGTACGCTTTGTACCAAGTGATGTACGGCTACAAGGGTCTGGGCCTCGATCAGAAGACAGCGCAGGGATATGCCATCCAGGCGGCGGTGGCCGGTGCGGACGCTCCCACGTTCAAGGAAACTTATTTAAAGAACAAGGACTTGCAGAAGGCCATGCTCATGGGCGTGTCCGCCAACCTGCAGGGTTTGGTGAAGCGCTACGCGAAGAACGGGCAGCCTTACACGGTGGATGAGTTTCAGCAGTATTATCCTTCGGACTGGCTCCAGGAATGGGTCGACGGACCCCTTGAGAAGAAGGTTTCGACAGACAAGAAGGCGTATACTGCGAGCTCCTTCAGTAGGCACTTCGGGACTAACTGGGCTGCGAAGTATCGCACCAGTGACGAGGCCACCCAGGTCCGCCTTGCCAGAGATGGCAAGCCATACACGATCCCGCAGTTTCAGTCCTATTACGGGAACTCCTGGCAGACGGAATTTAATGCTGCTCCCGAACTCGCTTGCTCGGAGTGTGCCCCTTACATGCTCATGGAAGGTGCGGCTGAGATAGCTGAGCTGGTGGTCTAGGGAGTTGGCGATCGCGATAGTTTCTGTTGGCGACGAAGTCCGAATCCTACCCCCCGCCCGTCGATTTTGACCGGCAGGGGTTGAACGAGTTGGGTTCATGTCGCTTGTGCACACCGGTGTCCTGGCCCCCCACCCAGGGTTTGGACCAGTAGGGGTAGGGAGCACGTGTGGCTGCCTATTCTGACGGCTGGCACGTGTGGTCGAGTATGTTCCACAGACTGAATCGCTTGCGGCGCGAGGGCGCTTCAGCGTAGCAGTGAAAATGAACCTCGCACCCTTCCGCGACGCGTCCGTCTATGAGGCATTGGCGTAGCAGCGAACTAAACCATTGAGTCGTCCTCCCTCTTCTGATCTTGCTGATGCTTCTCCTGCTTGTCTTCCCCGGCATCCTCGTCGTCGTCGTCGTCGTCGTCGTCGTCGTCGTCGTCGTCGTCATCGTCATTGTTCTCCTCATTTTCCTCGTCCTCACCTCCTGCTACTGCTCCTCGTGCTCTTCATCTACCTTTCCTGTCCCTTCTCTTCCTCGTTTCCTTGCTTGTCCTTCTCGTCCACCCCCTCCTCATCCTCCTCCCTTCAGCTTTCCTGCACGACGGCGCGTAGACGCGACTCCACCCATGCACTTCAACCTACGGGCAGACAACCAAAGCAACTCTGACGCCTGCTACGGCAACCCATCCAACGGTGCTGGACACCCTGACGTAGTATCCAGCACATCTTCACACTTCGCGTATCCCCAACAGCCCATTCAGAAACGTTCTGATTGAGAGCTGACGGGAAACGGTAGGAAGAGACACGATTCGTGAAGTGACGTGGGCAAGGCAAGGAGGGGGAGCAGCGTGTTGAGCCATTCTGGAGGTCGTTTTGGAGCAGCGGAGTCAGGAGGAGGACAACGAGGACGCGAACTTGTTGAGCCATCTTTGGGTCCTCTTGGGGCACTCTTGGAGTTTGCTGTGGGTCTTCTTGGGGCCCTGTTGGGCCTCTTCTGGAAGGCCCTGGGTTTTATAAGGCCCTGTCAAGGCTTCTTGGGGCCTCTGGGGTCCTCTGGGGGCTCTCTTGGGGCCTTCTTTCGGGCACTGAAAAGGTTTCTTGGGACCATCTTGTTTCTTGGGGCCATCTTGTAGGGCGTCGATCAAAGGAGGGAGGATCCTAGCTCCCCCCCCTTTCCCCCCCCCCCTATGCTGGTGCCATCTATATCGCCTCTGAGGGCGCTCTTGGGCCGATCTTGGCCGCGCTTGGGGCAGTTTTGGAGGCCTCTTGGGCCACTCTTGCGGCTCTCGTGGGCAATTTTTGGGCCATCTTGAGGCCTCAGCAGCACATCGGAAGACAACAGGCGAACAAAGGCACCTCTCCCTGTCCTCGGGCATTCTTGGACTTTGGCCTCTTTGGGGGGTCTGGGGGGGCTCCGAGAGCACTTGGAACCGTCTTGTAGCCCTCTTGGGGCCTCTTGGAGGCATGTGGGAAGCAGAACGCAGTCTTGAGCTAGCCTCCGCTATATTGAGCCATCGGAGGCCCTGTATGAACCATCGTGGGCGAAACAAGACTTCCGACACGTCGCGGACCCGCCCCCCCCAAAAAAAACCAACGCCCAGGAAGGGGAGGGGGAGGGTACCTCTCCTCGAAGGGAAGAGGTTTGGAAGAGGAGAGGCAGACATCGTTAGACCACCTACGCCCAGAATTTTGGTGTGATTCAGACATTTGTCCATGACATTTGTCCATTCCAGCCTTTCTTGCGATATCTAAACAAAAGCATTTTTTTGTTTCCTCAAGATTTTCTAATATTCTACCAAACGGGCTCCGCTGGCGCGCATGTCGAAGTCTTTCGAACGCCCTTGCGCGCGTGCCGTCGCGAGAATCCTTTGCACCAAATGGGACGAAGTGCGCACGCGCGCGTCGTCGCGCGCGCCTGCCGGAATCCTTCAACAGTTTCAGGTTTCGGAAGGATTTCAAAATCGAGTGTCCAAGAAACAAACAAAAACACCGGGTTTCGCAACATGGATTTCCAACAAAAGCGTGCGCGCGCGCTCTTGCGTCGTCGTCGTCGTCGCCGTCCTCCCTCCCTCGTCGTCGTCGTCGTCCTCTGTCTTTCCTCGTCGTCGTCGTCGTCTTGGCGTCGTGGTCGTTTCCGTCGTCGTTGTCGCAGGGGTTGTCCTTCCTTCCTCGTCGTCTTCGTTGGCATGTCGTCGTTGTCTCTCTATTCCGTCGCCGCCGTCATCGTCGTCATCGTCTTCCCTCCTCCCTCGTCGTAGTCGTCGTCGGGGTCGCCGTCTTCCCTCCTTCTTTGTCGTTCGCGTCGTCGCTGTCCTCCCTCCTCCCTCGTGGTTGTCGTCGTTGTCGCCGTCGTGGTCCTCTCCTCTCTCTTCGTCGTCGTCGTCTTCGTTGGCGACGTCGTCGTCTTCGTCGGCGTCGTCGTCATCGTCGTCGTCGTCGTCGTCGGCGTTATCATCGTCGTCATCGTCGGCGTCGGCGCCAGCGTCGTCGACGTCGTCGTCGTCGGTGTCGTCGTCGTCGTCGTCGTTCTCGTCATCGTCGTCGTCGTCGTTGGAGGCATCGTCGTCGTCGTCGTGGTCGTTGTCGGCGGCGTCGTCGTCGTCGTTGTCGCTGTCGTCGTCGGCGTCGCTGTCGTTGCCAAGTGCAATTTGGTACCCACCGTCACGGTCTTAAGAGGTCTTGCGACCAAGTTGTGGGTTGGAGGGTGGGATGTTTGCACGAGCAGTGGAGAGGACAGCTTCAAGTTGAGCAAGTGATGACTCTACCCCCCCCACCCCCCGGCGTTATCGGTCCCCCTTTCGGGTATGTAAATCATTTATGATTATGACCACATGTCCATCCTAAATATGAATTTACACTATCCCCGGGGGGCCTGGATCGGACCCCTGAGGTTCCCTTGTGCAAAAACAATACGCGGGAAACTTTTTTGTTCTAACACAAGACTTTTTCACGAATCCCTTGCAAACAATGGGACGAAGTGCACACGCGCGCGACGTCGCGCGCGCGCATGCCGAAATTCTTCAAAAACCTTCAGTAACATACAACAACACAGGGTTGCGCAACACTGATTTGCACAACATGCTACCAAACGGGCTTCGCGCGCGCGCATGTCGAAATCAGTCGAACGCCCTTGCGCGTGTGCCGTCGCGAGAATCCTCTGCAAAAAATGGGACGAAGTGCAGACGCGCGCGTCGTCGCGCGCGTATGCCGAAATCCTTCAAAACCCATTGGTTTCGGAAGGATTTCAAAATCGTGTGTCCCAATGTCGAAGTCTTTCGAACGCTCTTGCGCGCGTGCCGTCGCGAGAATCCTTTGCAACAAATGGGACGAGCACGCGCGCGTCGTCGCGCGCGCATGCCGGAATCCTTCAAAAACTTTTGGTTTCGGAAGGATTTCAAAATCGAGTGTCCAAGAAACAAACAATAACACCGGGTTTCGCAACACGGATTTTCAACAAAAGCGTGCGCGCGCGCTTTTGCGCCGTCGTCGTCGTCGTCGTCGTCGTCGTCGTCGCCGTCCTCCCTCCTCCCGCGTTGTCGTCGTCGTCGCCTACGTCGTCCTTTGTCTTTCCTCGTGTTCGTCGTCGTCGTCCTCTTTGGCGTCGTGGTCGTTTCCGTCGTCATTGTCGCCGTGGTCGTCCTTCCTCCTCCTCCCTCGTCGTCGTCGTCGTCGTCCGTCGTCGGCATCTCGTCGTCGTCCCTCCCATTTCGTCGCCGTCGTCGTCGTCGTCGTTGTCGTCGTCGTCGTCTTCCCTCCTCCCTCGTCGTTGTCGTCGTTGGCGTCGCCGTCCTTCCTGCTTCTTCGTTTTTCGCGTCGTCGCCGACCTCCCTCCTTCCTCGTCTTGTCGTCTTTGTCGTCGTTGTCGCCGTCGTCGTCCTCCCTCCTCCCTCGTCGTCGTCTTCGTTGGCGACGTCGTCGTCGTCTTCGTCGTCGTCGTTGGCGTCGGTGTTGTCGTCGTCTTCGTCGTCGTCGACGTCGGCATCGTCGTCGTCGCCGCCGTCGTCGGTGTCGTCGTCGTCGTCTTCGTCGTCGTCGTCGGCGTCGTGGACTTCGTCGTCGTCGTCGGTGTCGTCGTTGTCGTCGTCGTCGGCGTCGTCATCGTCGTCGTCGTCGTCGTCGTCGTTGTCGTCGTCGTCGTCGGCGTCGGCGTCATCGTCGTCGTCGGTGTCGTCGTCGTCGTCGTCGTCGTCGTCGTCGTCGTTGTCGGCGTCGTCGAAGTCGTTGGAGGCATCGTCGGCGTCGTCGTAGTCGTTGTCGGCGGCGTCGTCGTCGTCGTTGTCGCTGTCGTCGTCGGCGTCGCTGTCGTTGCCAAGTGCAATTTGGTACCCACCGTCTCGGTCTTAAGAGATTTTGCAAACCAAGTTGCGGGTGGGTGGGTGGGATGATTGCGCGAGCAGTGGAGTTGACAATTTCAAGTTCGGCAAGTGAAGTGCACCACATAGACTGCACCACCTATATTGCGCCGCGTAGATTTCAGCCCAGTGATTGCACCACGTAGACTGCACCACGGGGTATGCTGGAAAACACGGTTTGGGATCGCTGCTGGTTCATTTTTTGGCTATGAGGGACATGCCGTGGTAGGCCTATACAGTCGGGGCACTGAGGAAGGAACCCTTTTCGTTGGGGAGGGGCTCGGTGTCCTTAGTTGTTCTGCAGTTCGCCTCTGGTTTTGCTCAGGGCTTCGATGGGACATCGAATTTACACTGATGGAAAAAAGGGGCCTCGTTCCTTATTTAGGGTTCCTTAGGTCAACGCCCCGACTGTACACCTTAGGCGATGCTTAAGAAAACTTAAGTTTTCGGCCAGAGTCTCGATTATTCTTAACGTTTCAATGTAAATCTTGAGATTTTCATGGAAACGTTGGGTGTTTATCCAAGTTCTGAGACTATGAATTTCTTAACCCATGATTTCTTAAGCATTTCGCGGGGTGTAGGCCTATAGGGATGCCCGGGCGATCAGTCCCCTCTCAGCAGCTGCCCGGCCTCGTGGACGGCGTGGCGGAGCCGGCGTGCGGGCGGCCGGCAGGCATGGCGGGCGGCCGGGGAGCCGCGGCGGCCGCGCGGGCGCTGGCGCTGCTCCTGCTCCCGCGGGCGGGCGGGTCGCCTGCCGGCAACGGCTACCAGTCCAACAAGGCTCGCCATGATCAGGAGGAAAAGAAACACACAGACACAATTAATCGGCGATTCCCCAGAAAATATGGGAAAATATGGGAATTGGGGGGGAAGACAAAAACCAAGAAAATATGGGAAAATATGGGGATTATTTTTATTTGTGTGTATTTATTTGTGTGTCCTGGGGCCCCTTCACATGAGTGTATTCGATAGCAAATCATGGGAGCCTCGTGTGTCCCTCGGGGGTGGACAGAGCCCCATCGCTCGGACGGGTGCCTTTTTTCTCTTGGCGAGAGCCATCGAGGAACATCCTGGACCATCGAGCCAACATAAACACGCACGAAACCGAAACATGGACAGGAAATGGACGTCCGAGCGACGGCACGTTCATGACATCAGGTCCGGTTGCCGAGGTGGCCCCCGTCGTACAGCATGAGACGATCCACGCTGTTCATGCCATGCAACTACAGCGGGTGGCACGACGTGGCAGAGGCTCTGCAGTACGGCCTTGTCAGCTATGACTGGGCTAACGCGCAGGTGCTGTGGTCGAACGCCGCGCCGGTGAACGACGAGGCGCTGCTCACGGCTCAAGCAGACAAGCTCGTCGCTGCCGACCGCAGCGGTGGTGTGAGGGTCGGCGTGTACAGGAATACCATCAAGGCGTTCAACTGGTTCGGGTCCATTGTTCAGGAAAAGCTAGACGACCCGCGCTACGCTGGGTGGTTCGTTCAGTTCAAGGACTGCGAGGGTGCTCGGTCGAACCTCTCCTACGATCCCCCCGCTTGCACCCTGAGCAAGTGCAGCTGCGCGTGGCACGACCACGCCGGCCAGCTCGATGGCGGCACGCAGGATTGCGGGAAATCCCCATGCGGCGGCTATGTTTTCGATCACAGGAACGCGACGTTCTCCGAGTGGTTTGTCAATGAATTCATTATAAGTAATCACACGATCCTTCGACCCGGGGTGTCCGAGCTGTACCTCGACGACCGTGTGGAGCTTTGGGGCATCGCGGAAGCGGAGGGGAATTTCCTAAGGGACACGGGGCTGACGCCACATGACATGCATGACCTGAAGAGCGCCTTTGAGAGCACCATGGAGAGAGTGTACGATCGGATCGTCGAGCTCGGCTCCTTCGCATGGCAGATGCTCTACGACGGCCCCTTCGTGCTCCCGAGGTATTTCGATAACGGCACTCGGGACCCTCAGGGGGACGTCGCGCCAAGCGCTTGCTCGCAGGAGCTGCGGCGCTTCTGCCAGCCAGACTCGACAGCCGCCAGGCGTGCGTTGGCCTACACCAGGAACCCGAGCCCAGACAACGCGAGTGTCCAGGGCGAGCAGTACCTAATCCTGTTCCTCCTCACCCGGGGGGAGTACGCGTGGATCGGCTACGACTACCGCGGCTGCAAGACGCAGTGGTACCCCAGGCCGCGGGAGTGGGACGTCGACTACGGCGAGCCCATGGGGAACTGCTGGGAGACGGGGGCCGGCTCGAACGTCTTCGTCCGCAGGTGGACGAAAGCGTCGGTCCGCTGGGACTGCAACGCGGGCACGGGACGTATGGACTCCTCGGCCGCCCCCGCGCCTTCTCTGGTAGTCTGAAGCTGGCGGGTCGCGGCGAGCAGGAGAACGCCCGGGCGGATCGCGAGAGGGGTGGCGCCCTGCAGCCAGCGTGCCGCGGCGGCCAGGCTGAGCCGGCAGCCGCCTGCGGATGCGCCTTCGGGTCGCACGGGCCGCGCGCGTGGCCTGCCGCGCAGACGAAGCAGCACTTCGCGATGGTCCTCTCCGCCGCCGTCGGAGGCGCTGTGGGGCGGCTGCAGCGGGGAGGAGTGGTGGGTAGAGTCAGCCCGCATAGTAGGGGTGTCCAACCTTTCCAAGGGTGCCTTCGCATCCCTGCCTCCTCGACCCATCCTCGGGCACATTCGTTGGCCGCGCCCCGCTCGGAGAGCTGCGGAGTGGCCTTCCAAGGCCCTTGCGTCCTTTGCGCGCATCCTTACGATTCGGGTTGACTGTAGAGAGAAGGGATGGCGGAGGACGAGGAGGAACGTAAGCGGCCCCCGAGTTGGCCAAGAAACGGCGAATGTGTGTTCGCTGGGTTGTGCTGTGTATATATATTTTATATACACGTGAATATATATATATATATATATATATATATATATGTTTATATCAGCGTGTGCGTATATGTATACATAAATATATAGATAGATAGTGCGACGGCCTTGTGTGTGAGAGGAACACTTGGAAGCATTTTCGAGTGAATGGCGTTCGGTGGAAAATGGTTGAGCTCGTTTGTGAAAGTCCACGCTCAGATGCTGGATCCGTGAGTAACGGATAGCCCCAACCGCTTCCAAGCCGCCACCAGTGCACGCAGAAGTAGTGGACATGATTTTGCAGAACGGTCTCGCCTCGAGTGCTTGCGCGGCGCTTTTGTCCCTCTGGCTGTAAAGTACATTGTGAGCAGGATGACAGAGGAGGGAGGGAGGAGGCGGGATCTGATGAGATGGGAGTGGGTGGGAGCGTAGACATGTAGATCTGTCCGTCCTCCTCTCTCCCTCCTCCCCCTCTTCGTCTCCCCTCCCTCCCGTAGCCTGCCACCTGACCTGGCTTTCATGCCCTCCGCCTTCAGCCTTCAGCCCCCTCTCCCTCCCCCTCCCCCTCCCTGGGGCGCCCGCCAGGTTCAGGCGCAGGAGTGGACTGACTGGGCGACCAAGGCCTTCGTCAACGGGGCCGCTGTCGCCCACAGGTATGCCAAGGTCCGCGACCTCCAGGAACCCCTGAGCTACACAGTTGACAAGGGGCAGCCTCACCACATGGCCGATGCCTGCTTCAGCACTGGGCCAAGATTTGGTCCCTTCATGGTGACGAGATGCTGCAGCTGCCCTTTGACATCGCCAGCTGGGATGACTTGCCGCGGTTCGACGGGAAGGATGTGCGCCAGGTCCTGCGCACGTTCAGAGTACCCACGGCCCTAGGTGAGGTCAACATCCAGCCGCGCGCCCTATAGGTGATCTCGGACATATGCCTCCAGGTGCTGGCGGAGCTCTACCTCAGGTGCGAGAGCCTCTGCTTCTGGCCCGATGCGCGGCTGCACACGGTCCTGGTCAGGCTCCCGAAGCCTTCGGGCGGCCACCGCTTGATCGCCCTGATCAGCACGCTCGTGCGCATATGGAGTCGACTGCGCCGTCCATTGTCCAAGGAGTGGGGGCAGAGGCATGGCACGGCGGTCTTCTGGGGTGCGAAGGTTGGGGCCACCTCCAGGGACGCGGCGTTCCAGCACAACCTTATGCCAGAGGTGGCGCGGTTGCAAAACCAAGAGTCTGCGAGTGTGCTCATTGAGATGTGCAAATGTTTCGAAACTATTCGGTTGGAAGCTTTGCTGCAGCATGCTCGGCGGCTCGACTTCCCATTGAGATTTGCGTGGCTTCGACTGTCATTCTATCAGCAGCCCACGTTCGTTCGTGCTTATGGCTCTGTGTCTACTTGTTATTCCTCCGCCCAATGTATACTTGCAGGTTGTCCGCACGCTTGTGCCATGATGCTGCTTCTGCTCCGAGATGTTCTCGGGCGCCTACGTCGTGCTTTCCCGCAGATCGCGTCACAGGCCCTCATGGATGACGTCAGCTTCCAGTGGGTCGGACCCAGTGCGAGGCAAGCCGAGCTTTTCTGTGCAATTCGCTGGTTCGTTCATGAAGGGGTGCCGCTGGGACTGATCATACAGACGGACAAGAGTGGCTCCGTGACGGGCACACATGTTTCCAGGACGTGTACCGGGCGCTTCGCCAAGTCAGTTGGGATTTCTTGCCATCTGCATATGCGTAACCTGGGACATGAGCTCAGGGGCTCCAAGATGCGCAGGGTCGTGGAGAGGAAGCGGCCTCTTGTCCTCGGTGCCCGCCAACGCCCACGACGTGCCCTACGATGTGGAGCTCCTGGCAGGACGAAGGCGCTATGGAGGACTGGGCTGCTCCCTGCTGCGGCCCACGGAATTGGCGTCAGTGGGGTGACGCCCCACATTCTCCAGAAGCTGCGCGCCATGGCGGGGGCATTTGTTGGCGCTCGCTCTCACGCCAGCGTGACGGCGTGGCTTGCCACCCAGCGCGACGAATTCTTTAACCCTGTGTATGACACAACCATTTCAGTACTCATGCGTTACTGTGCCGCTGTATGGGATGGGCTGTTTTCTCTCGCTAGCCTACAACGTACCGGGATGGCTTTGCCTAGTACCGTCACGGACGATGGCTCCTGGATGCATTGTGCTGGGCCGCACTCGGCAGTTGTGCTCACTTTGAAGAGGATCGCATGGACTATGCAGGCTGCTCATCTTCTCGTGGGCGACGAAGGAGTTTTGCATGATTTGCTCAACTTGCCACCGCATGACGTCAAGCCGGCGCTGCGGGCATCACTGGGGCGATGGCAAACGGCAAAGATCTTGAGTCACATACCAGAGGCTGCAGGGCTACAAGTGCAACCTTGGCGTCGCGCGCTACGACTGGGGATTCTCAGCCAGAAGAGCTATCTTCGTGAGGGCTGTGCCCGCTGCCTGCTTGGCTCCGCCTCGTTGCCCCCCGAAGAGCATCGAGCAGGCTTGCAGTCTAGTAGCGTGTGTGAACTGTGTACCTCTGGGGCCATTGGGAGTCTTGGGCATCAACTGTATGATTGTGAGGCCCTGCGAATGACCCCGGAGGAGCTCGACCTAGACCCTTTGCCGCCCGATGTCCTGGAGCACGGGGCTTTTCTGCGGGGCCAGGGGGGCAATGGTCTTGGGGGCCCCGACTGGGACACGCTTGAGCTTACGTGCGGGATCCCTTTTCACCCCATCAAGATCAGCTCAGTGGCCCCGCGGTGCCCTGTTTCTAGTTTGGGGGCTACGCACCTTCCTTGGGGGGAGCGCGTCTACACCGACGGCTCTGGGCTTGCGAATGCGAGCCCAGAACTGGGGCGGGTGGGTGGGCTGTCGTCGAGCTTCTGGGCTGTGGTTTGCCCGTTAGGGCTGTGTTTGGAGCGCAGCCAGGGCGCCGGTCGTTGCCCAGGGCCGAGCGCTATGCTGCTGTTGTGGCCCGCAAGGTAGCCCCCCCAACTCAGGACCATTCGCGCGGATCACTTGAACTGTGTGACCGAAGGCTCGGCATGGGGCCCAGAGCAGGCCTCAGCGCGAGGACTGCACGCTGACTTATGGCGGGAGTTTTTTTTCGGCTTCGTCAGAGGCCTCCAAAGTTCGTGCTGGTGAAAGCCCATCAGGACATGGATGGGATTCTCACTGCCCCGCAGGAAGCGCTGCACGATTTCCTATGAAACTGCTGGGCCGATTTTTTTTGCGCGCTTGGGGGCCATGAAGCATCGAGTGGCCCAAGTGGCCGTGGATGCTGAGTCCGCCCACTTGAAAGCGGTGCGACGGACCTGGAGTTTCTTCTCGCGGGCTGTTCAGATCATCTCTGCCGGCGCTGCTCGGGTTGACCGCGAGGACCCCCCCCTCGCGCGGCCCGTCGAAAGACCGCCTCACGGTCGTGATGCATCAAATGTTTTTCCTGATGGAGCGGCAGGAGTGGCGGTGTGCACAATGCAATGCCGTCGCTAGGACTGGGTATACCCTCCCAGGGCCGCGCACGGGGGCGGGGGGGTTTGTCGACCGACGGAGGTCCAGCGGTGGCGAGCGAGGAGCCTCTTTGCGAATGTGTCACATGCAGTCCTGGATGGTATTGCCCTCCCGCAGGCTGTCCCTGGCTCGCCCCCTGCTCTCGACTTGGCCGAGCAGCCTCGTGTCCCCGCCCCACCCAGCCAGGACGGTCCAGCTGATGAGCTTGAAGTCTCCAGGGGATTGCAACACCAGCCGGCCAGGTATGGGCAGGATGTGATATGCGAAGCCTGTGTCAGCCATGTCATGCTCCCAGATGGCCCATGCCGTCGGCTGAATAAGGTTTGTAAGGGAGCTTCGCGCGTGGCCAGCAAGCGTGCCAATAAGGAGGGCGAAGCGTGGATTCAACCCGCGGACGGGCAAGGAACTCAGTCCGACGATCCTGCCCGCGGCCCCCACCCAGTGCCATTTTTTATCGCAAGGGTCAGGCTCCTTCAGCTGCTGGGGCGTGGACGCCGCGGCCAGGAGGGCAGCTGGGGGGGGGCCCGCCTTCTGCGCGAGGGGTGCGAGGCCGCATCCGATAGTGGGGGACGGGTCGTCGGGGGGTCGTCTGAGGAGGTGCCAGTCGGTCGGGATCGATGTGATATGCGTAGGCTGCGAGCTGCGCGATCTGGCGCATCCCGTGCGCCTCTGGCCCCCCTGCGCCCTCCCTGCGGGGGCTCTGTGGCGCAGGGGCCCCGGCTTACTCCCTCCTCCGCCTCCTCCTCGGTGCAGCGGGGCACACCTGTGCTCCAGCCTGTCCGCGCGCGGCTGCGTGCAGAGGGTGCTTCTCGTGTCGAGGAGGCGCGGACCGAGGGGTCCACGTCTGGCTCTGACTGAGGAGGAGTGGCTGGGCGTTCGGCTGGCCTGCTGTTCAGAGCGCGCCGCCGATGCCAGCCAGGTCCCTGCACGTGCAGTGGCCGCCTTTTTTCGAGCGCCTGCTCTGCCACCTCTCAATGCAGTGTGTTGGCGCTCCCTAGGGCAGGCCTGGCCCGCCGCGGCCGAGGCGCTAGTCAGCGACATGCGCCTTGCTGAACTCGTAACCTCCCTTGGGCCCCCCCCTTCTCCCTCACCCTCTCCCTCCCGTAGGCGCCCCCCCCTCCCCCCTCCTCCTGCCCCTTCCCTGATTTAACAGCCGCTGCGCTTGCCAGCGTCGACTGCGAGGAAACGCTGGACAGGTCAGGACC